TCAAAGTAAATTATAAATTATAAAACTAAAAAAATTTAACATTGAATAAAAATGTGTCAATATTTTTTTATATACATTTGTAATTAGCTAATTTGTAGTTTCCTATGCTTTGATGCATTTCTCTTTAACCAATGTAATTTAACCAAATGTAATCCCCTGAGTATGGGAAGATGGCACAACATAGTAGCAACTTCGGCTAAGACCTCAAATTGATTTGCTGTAATTATGGTGCCTCACCGCAAAATTTACCAACCTGCAGGTGGCCCGTACCTGAGCCTATCGAGCAAGGACCCACCGTTCCGTCCGATTTATCCGCCCAGCAGCCACTTTGAGGCGGAGCCACCGACGCCCATCTTCGGACCCACCACACTGCGCTACACGGCAGCGGAGGCGGCACCGCAGGTATGCAGCCGTAGCAAAGCTGGCAGTGCAATACAGCAACCACAGCGAGTGCATTTAATTAACAAACCAACTACTACAATCCTCCCCCCTCCCCCCTCGCTAGGCCTTCTACGGACCGAAGGCGCCACCGCAGCACCGCTTCAACTTCGCAGTGCCGCCGCAAGTGGAACCCTATCAGCGGCAAGTCGCGTTTAAGCCGACTGCCGCACCTCTGCCGCCACCACAGCCGCAGCCCCAGTCGATTTTCAATTACGGCGAACTGGAGCCGGAAACGGGTGCCACCTCACCACTGACCCACCATCACCACCAGCACCACCCCCCTTCCCATTCCCATCCCAATTCCCATCCCCATCCCAATCCCAGCCAGCATTCCAAATATCTGCAGCAGCCGCAGCAGCAGCAGCAAAAGTTGCAACAGCGCATTCAGTACATCATTGCCATACCGCTGTCGTACATGCGACAGTTGCAGCAGCAGCAACAGTTGCAACAGCAACAGCAGCAGCAGCAGCAATTCCTCTACTCGCCACCACCACCCACGAGTAGTTCAACCAGCACCACCAGCACGGCACCACCTGCCCAGCAATCAGCACCCACTAGCAGACATCCAGTGGTGCAGTTGCTGGGAGGTCCACTGGCCCGCGACCATCAGGGTCAGTACAAACCCTATTATCAATCAGATGCCGCCAGTGCACCACTCGCCGGACCCACTGCACCACTGATCCACCAGCCCTACCTGCAAATACCCACCAGCCTGCTCATGGCCGCCGCCCAACAACTGCAACAGCAGCACCACCAACAGCCACAGCCCGTCTACGCCAAGGTCGCTGCACCACCAGCACCACCCACCTACCAGCCCACCCAAATCATCTACCAGCCGCAGGGGCACCACCATCAGCCGCAGATACAACTGCAGCTGCAGCGAATCTTCCTGCAACCACCACAGCCCCAGCAATCAACCATCTACGCGGAACAGCCGGGTCCACTTTATGGTAAGCAAGTCAAAACGCAATTGGTTATAGCTTCCGGGGAAATACTACACTGAAAAAAACGAATTTATGGGAAACGATACTCATTTTCAAAAAATACCTTATCATTTTTGCATTGGTCCTTCTTTCAATGGGAGAGAAATCAAAAATTATATTTTCAATATAGAGTTTACATCTCATACACCATTGATATATATTCTACACTGATAAAAAATGTATAGCAAACTATAATATAATATTATCTTTGAGGCTATATCTATTTTAAATGGAACATAAATCCAAAATTACAATTTTAGATATCAAGATCGCATTATTTATACCATTGATAAAAATACTTTATACGTACCATTGATACGCCCTTGCCTTTGAGTATCAACTTACTTCTGATACTTATTTTCTGCGTGGAATCCCCCTAAAAGAAAACATCCTTTAGTCTAATGTCCCCATTTTGATTTCATATTACCATGCATAGGTATATAAAACCAGATAACGGACTTATATATGTAATATTTTGAAAATATAAAACTGCAGGTTGATCTGCCAATAAAAAATAGATCCTTCTTTATTAAAAGTAATAAATTCATTTCTAAAATTCCTATAATTGTTCTTCCTCATGCTAAAAATCCCTCAAGTTATGTCACCAGTCCATATCAACTTGTTATTAAACACTTGTGCAGCCCAGTACAGTTCCATCTGTATGAGCCCACAATTCCCTGACTGTTTAAACTTGTTTCGTTTGGGGGCAACTGTACCCTGTTGATGGCCTGAAATCGTTGACAGGGTCAATTAGCGACCGTAATGCAACTGACTGTCAAAGTGCTCGGGGCGTGGGATTGAGCCGAGGAATCAGATGTCTGTAACCCAATTGTTTTCCTTGCTCCTTTCAGCGTATCCGCTGCAGCAGCAGCAGCAGCAGCAGCAACACCAGCAACAGCAACAGCAACACCAGCAGCAACTGCAATATCAGAAGCCGCACCAGCAACAGTCCTTGAAACAGTCGCAGCAGCAACAGCAACAGCAGCAACAACACAAATACACGCCTGCAGCGCCAACGGCACCGACAGCATTGACAACATCAACAACGAGCACGGCAGCAACATCCGAGGCAGCAGCAGCGGCAACACAACAGGCTGCAGCAGCGGCAACGGCAACACGTCAGCAACACTTGCCCCTGGTGCACTACAATCCCATTTACGTGCAGGCACCCCCTGAGCAGCAAAATCAGCTACAGCAGCAGCAACATCAATTTACCATATTGCCACGTTTTAGCAATAATAACCCCAAGGCCGTCTACAACATGGCCCACGAATCGGCGGCTCCGGCTCCATCTCCCATTCACGTGGTCAGATTGTCACCGGCAAATGGTGCTCCGATCCATCACTACCACCATTACCAGCCGACGTCCATGTTGCAGCCGCTTTATGCCCCCCATATCCCGCAGCAATATGTGTCGTCCTATGGGGCGGGCGACGAAGGACACAAGTCGCAGGCACCCGTTGCCATTTCCGGTTCCGGTCCCCTTTTAGCCGGACCCACGCCCTCACCCCTGATGACCGCAGGTTCGCAGCCTGCCATTATACCATATTTCAGCCATCCGGGTGCCGTGCATTATGGCACGCATTTGTATCACCCGGGAGCTGCAACAGCACTGGGTGCAACAGCAGCAACATCGGGAGCAGGTGCAGCAGGACCAGGAGCAGCAGGACCCAGAGCAGCAGGACCCAGGGTAGCTGGTCCAAAGCAACAGTCAACCGCAACAAGTGGGGGACAGCTGTCAGGTGACAGCAACAATATTGTGAAATATCCCTAAAGCGCTCAAAGCAACAATGACAGCAGCAACAGCAACAGCAGCAGCAGGCAGCAGGCTATGTGCAACAGCAACTTCACCCCGTCCAGCAGCAACATCATCACCTAGAGCTGGTATAGCTTAACTTTAAGCTCGATTTCAACACCCACATCCACCCGATTGCCGCTTCTTTAACCTTTGTTTGGCTTACCCATTTGTTAGCCGCCGTTGTTGCCCCTGTTTTCGGTACGCTAATTACGTATTTTACTCGATTTCTAACCCCTTTTAAGCCCCTGCTCTTTGTTGTTATGCAAATCTGGTGCCTTCGAGTTTGCTTTTCCAACTTTTAATGAGTTTGGCCCGTGCTCGTTCGGTTTTTGTGTAAATATTTAAGAAATTTTCCAATAGACTCGCCAAATAAACATTTGCCTAAGCCTACATATATGTATGTGTATTGTGTGTCTTTACTGTTTTTAGCCTTAGAACTCGCTATTTGTATTTTAATATTACGTTTAAAATTATGGAATTACATTTTTTGTTGGTACACTTAATAAAAAATATACTCATTTCACAGATGTTAAATGAAGGGTTTTTGTTTTTGAGAGCGTGTAAGGGCTAAGATCCATTTCCTTCATCTCAGAGTGATATTAAAATATATGTATATATATATATATAAATATATATATCGCTATGGGTATTTTAATCTTACATTTACAATTACAAAACTAGCACTCATTTCCCAGATTTTAATTAAAAGTTTTTTATTTTTGAAAGGGTGATATGATATTAATATATATATAAAGAAAATATAGTTAAAAACATTTGCAATCCGTTGAACATCAGTGCATCAGTGGTCTGTCTTATGCCAGCTTATTGTCAAACCATTTAAATTGGCACTGATGGGCTACATAATTATGATGGCAATTTAATATTTAAGTGCGCATTCAGTGCAATGACTACGAAAATGAATCAGATTGAAAGCGTCGCTTGAATTGCGCATCGGTTGAATCATTAATCTCATATCCATTAATTGACTTATGGGGACTTTACCAAAGCACAGTGGTCCTGAAAGTTTATTGTTCACCTAAGTCCTGAAATTTAGTCTATACTTACAAACATATGTATATAGTATATAGATAATACAGACCAAAGCTGTGCATGTATTAATATATTAAATGTAATACCAAAATACCCTATATACATATATATTAGAGGCCTGATTTGGTTTTTATATTCGAGATATAAAGTCTAATTGGATTTGGTTTTAAATCCATTTTTATGCAAGTCGAATACGAGTAAATCCCTTGAAATTAAATAATCTAACTTCAATATTCTTTTTTTTTAAGTATTATCAAAAACAAGTCCATAATTTTCTTCCTTTCATGAAATTTTTTATTTATTTTCGAAACGGAGTATAGATATTACTGTGCCCGATACCAAACGAAGGCTCGAAAAAATATAAAAACACGTTAAGCTCTGGCGTTCGCTTAAATGGGAAACGTGTTTGGGGAGGTTTCAATTAAAATGTCTATTAAGGAACCCTCTTTTCGCAGGTGTGGTCATCTGTCGCAGATGTCAGATGAACTTGTGTTACTACAACTTCCGTTCAATTCATTTAATAATAAGCTCCTGCATTATGCAGCAATAATTAAAAGCCCAAGCGATGTGAAAATCCCGCGGTTGAAAATGCAATAAATATGCAAAAAAATGTCTGGATAGTAGGCGTTTTTCAAATTCCATTTAAAAGAAAGGGGGCCAAAATATACACTTTATATGCCCTAATCAAGAAAGAACCCTAAAAATGCTTATGTATGAAGATCATTGACTTAGAGCAGGGTTTCGTTTATTGGCTTGAAATTAACTCTTCCTAGACAAATAGTTGTATTCTTTAAAATATAAATTAAAAACGTCACAGAAATTATAATACCAATACTTTTAAGTCGAAGTTATTGTACTTTAGAAATTCAACATAATGCAATTGTGGTTGCTAATCATATTTGTGTGGCTTTTGGATTTTAAATAAGTTTCTTAACCGTACGAGACTGTTGAAAATCCATGTATTGAGTATTGCTTTACGCAAATTTACATCAGCTAGTGACTTTCAAGAGTCGTTTTTCGCATTTCATTTAATAGAGTGAGCATTGTATAGGCTCCCTTGATCATCTGCAATGGAATGGAGTTACAATTGGTATAAAATATATCTTATGTATATTTTCGAGCATATATCTACCATCAAAAAGGTCTTCATGCTAATGGGCATTATCACCCCGGCGACCAGGATCAGCGGCTTCTGGCAGCGCTGGAGCATCAGGAGATGGAGTCGCCGGAAGTGGACCGGCTGGTCCACCCAGTTGCAGCTGTAGACTGCCGTTAGGAGAGTCTCGCCCTCCTGGCAGAGCAGCTCCGCCATGGAGCAGAGTAGCAGGGTCTCCGTGGTAAAGGCCACCAGGAGGGACAGCATGTTGGTAAACCTCATGACCCCCACCTGCCCGAAGAGCAGGAAGTAGCAGATGGTGCACTGGCCACAGGCTGTGGAGAGGAACTGCAACGAGCAGGTCATCGATAGGGATTTCTGCAGCGATCTAACCAGCCTGCAATTATTTTTAAGGGAGTTAAAATCAAAATTTCGAAAATATAATGATCTTTTGGACGAATTTTTTCTATCAATACTACTAGAAAGGGGTGTAATCCATTCTCATATAATTTATGGTTTTCCGAAAAATATTATCGTTAAAAATTGGGGTTTCCGCACACTCACTTCAAGATGACCTGGTGGTCCTGTATGTACCCGATCAGGAGTTCCTGCACCCGATCCGCCGGGAGTTGCTGATCGTGTCCCAGCTTGGCGACCCTCCAGGCGAGCGCCTTGGTGTGGGCGCTGACCAGGATGAGGTAGGTGCCCGGGTAGGTGGTCAGGTTGAGGACCACCATTGCCGTCTCCATCAGGGCGAAGGTGTGCAGGGTGACGGTGGGTAGGTAGGCGGCGGTGGAATCCTCCCAGTTCCAGGGGATCCACGAGGGGTACATCAGAGTGGGTTCGCTGGCCATGACTATGTACAGGATGCCCACGAACATCACGCCCATCACACAGTGCTTAAGGACCCGGAACACGAACGCAGCCTTGGCCACACCCTCATCAATGATCCGCGTTTCCTCGGGGGAGCACGAGCGCCTGTCCAGGTGGCGGAGCAACCGGTGGCTACTGAGCATCTCGTCGCGATGCAGGTACACATTGAACGACTTCAACATGTAGAGCGTGTGCGGCAGGGCCACGCAGAGGCTCTCGCAGAAGGTCTCCAGCGATTTGGACAGCAGGAAGTTGACCGAGAAGGACACCCACATGCAGAAGTGGAACGTCACATTCCACACTATCGAGTACGCCCTGTAGTGGCGGCCCCACAGAGTTTCCTTGGACGGTGAATGCAGCCCCGTTAACCGAAAAATGCGCCAGTGGCTCACCAAAGCGCGCGTCGAATCCACCTTTTGAATTTCCATTGCTCTCCAGATTTTCTAGTTTGCCCAGGCTTAACTTTTGGACTTAAAAGGCTCTGTCTGGCCCTTTTATACCCAATCCATTACCCACCCACAGGACTGCACATCCATTCAAATTATGCAAATTGCTGCAAATTAAACCGAAAAAGTTCGAAAAAGGACCACCTCTTCACACCAATCAAATCCGAATCGAAGGACCCATTTCAGCAATTATAACTGCCATAGTTTTCCAGTAGACTGCTAAATTGTGAGAAGGCGCATCTGGGCAGGGCACAATATATTTATTTATAGCATGAAAAGACAGGCCCCAAGCAAAAAAATATCTTTCCTGCAGATATATATATATATGCAATTCACATAAAACAATGAAAATGATATGTTTCCCACCTTTACAAATATCATTATTATATAATTAGGTATTTCATTATGTGTTTGGTTTTTAAATTCAAGATGTCACGATCTCAAATGCCAAAGATGGCTGGATCGAGCTTCCGAATATGGTATGTACTCTTATAATTCTATAGATTCAAGTGTTAAAAAGATTCAACTATTAAAAAAATACTTTGTTGGATCTAAACACATTCACACTTCAGATCTACGAGAACACAAACTAGTCTCTCAGTTTAAAACTATCGAGATGAAACCTTCCCAAAAGTCTTATTTCTATTGGAGGTATCATAAAAGTCGGAACGATCCGGATCGGAAAACTATATTTTAAAACTCCCTAGGAATGATAAAAAAAATATTTTTTTAAATGCAAAAAAATATAATTTTGTTGCTTTTGACTATTATCTTTTAATCTGAGGAATATCATTCTTTTAATATTTCAGAATTTCCAATAAAATTTAAAACAAATCAAACGAATTTATCATTCAGCTGCCATAAGATCGATCGTATAATTAAAGTCAAAATAATACAAAGACCGCTATATTTTGTTGTCGGTAATCATATACGGTAGTAAAATAAAAAAGAACATTTTCCTTATATTTCTGTAATTAGATTTTAGTTTTCTAAAAATCTTAAAGCAACGACCTGCTAGGGTAGAGAAACTTCGGCTTGCCGAAGTTTTGTTGGTACATTTAATAACAAATTTATTCATTTTACAGATTTTAAATCAGGGGTTTTTATTTGATGAATGTTTAAGTGTTAAGATCTCGGAAAGATATTTAAATATAAAAAAAATTGTAGTTAAAAAAAATTTGCAATCCGTTGAACATCGGTTCATCAGTGGTCTGTCTTATGCCAGCTTATTGTCAAACCATTTAAATTGGCACTGATGGGCTACATAATTATGTTGGTAATTTAATATTTAAGTACGCATTCAGTGCAATGACTACGAAAATGAATCAGATTGAAAGAGTCGCTTGAATTGCGCATCGGTTGAATCATTAATCTCATATCCATTAATTGACTTATGGGGACTTTACCAAAGCACAGTGGTCCTGAAAGTTTATTATTACCTAACACCTGAAATGTAGTCTATATATTCAATATTCTTCTTTAAAAGTGTTATCAGAAACAAGTCCCAATATTAGTCTATAACTTTATTCTTTCCTTTTTTTATTTATTTTTGAAACAGAGTCTTAGTATGACTGTGCCCAATCCCTACTGAAGGCTCGAAAAAAATATAAAAACAAGTTAAGCTCTGGCGTTCGCTTAAATGGGAAACGTATATTTTTTTGCGAATATGATAAGCTGAGTGGTACGAATGCCACGCCCACTTTGGGGTGGCTTCAATTAAAATGTCTATTAAGGAACCCCTTTTTCGCAGGAACCCTCATCTGCCGCAGATGTCAGACGAATTTGTGTTACTACAACTTCCGTTCAATTCATTTAATAATAAGCTTCTGCATTATGCAGCAATAATCAAAAGCCCAAGCGAAGTGAAAATCCCGCGGTTGGAAATGCAATAAATATGCAAAAAAAAGTCTCGATATTGTGCGATTGTCAGTTTCCATTTAAAAGAATGGGGTGGCAAATATATACACTTTGTAGGGTCGCAAATGTCCTAATCAAGAGAGAATATGAATGGAGACCATCGATTTTTTGCAGGGTTCCGTTTATGGTTTTGCAATTGACTTGTCCATATCAAACTATTTTTTTAAACGATTCTTCGAATTTTATAATTAAAACGTCACATAAGGTATAATATATAATAAGTACCCATACTTGACTTACAAGTCAAAGTAATTGTGGTTCATAAATTCTATTTAATGCAATTGCGGTAGTTAATCATATATCTGTGGCTTTGGGGTTTTAAGTACTCGTAAGTTTACATGCAGCATAAGACAGTTGAAAATCCACGTATTGGATATTGCTTTTCTTTATTATGTTTTTCCCAGTCCAACACTACATCCTTTTGGTTTTTATTCAGTTAGTGGCTTTCATTAGTAGTTTTGCGCATTATATTCAGTAGAGTGAGCATTGTATAGGCTCCCTTGATCATCTGCAATGGATTGGGGTTACAAATGGTATAAAATATATCTTATATATAATATATCTACCATCAAAAAGGTCTTCATGCTAATGGGCATTATCACCCCGGCGACCAGGACCAGCGGCTTCTGACAGCGCTGGAGCATCTGGAGATGGAGTCGCCGGAAGTGGACCGATTGGTCCACCCAGTTGCAGCTGTAGACTGCCGTTAGGAGAGTCTCGCCCTCCTGGCAGAGCAGCTCCGCCATTGAGCAGAGCAGCAGGGTGTCCGTGGTGAAGGCCACCAGGAGGGACAGCATGTTGGTGAACCTCATGACCCCCACCTGCCCGAAGAGCAGGAAGTAGCAGATGGTGCACTGGCCACAGGCTGTGGAGAGGAACTGCATCGAGCAGGCCATCGACAGGGATTTCTGCAGCGACTTCACCAGCCTGCAATTATTTTTCGATGAATTGGATGAAAAGCAGTATCAATACTATCTAGAAAGACATGTAAGACTTTATTATGTTCACCATCTTGCTTATTGCTCTGTTTTAATACCCTTTACTCGTAAAGTAAAAGGGTATACTAGATTCCTCGGAAAGTATGTAACAGGTAAAAGGAAGTGTTTCCGACCCCATAAAGTATATATATTCTTGATCAGGATCACTAGCCGAGCCGATCTAGCCATGACCCACATAACCATATATTGAGATCGCGGGTAGGTTGTGCATTTCAGTCTCGCTTTGGTGCTTGCATATCTCCATCTCCCTTTGGTCCCTGTAGCTGGGTAAAGGGTATCTGATAGTCGAGGTACTCGACTATATCGTTCCTCCTTGTTTATGATCTTTATGATCTCCGCCAGCTTTTCCCTTCAACATCTCTAATAATTCGGTTTTCCGCACACTCACTTTAATATGACCTGGTGGTCCTGTATGTACCCGATCAGGAGTTCCTGCACCCGATCCGCGGGGGGTTGCTGATCGTGTCCCAGCTTGGCGACCCTCCAGGCGAGCGCCTTGGTGTGGGCGCTGACCAGGATGAGGTAGGTGCCCGGGTAGGTGGTCAGGTTAAGGACCACCATTGCCGTCTCCATCAGGGCGAAGGTGTGCAGGATGACTGTGGGCAGGTAGGCGGCGGTGGAATCCTTCCAGTTCCAGGGGATCCACGAGGAGTACATCAGCGTGGGCTCGCTGGCCATAGCCATGTAGAGGATGCCCACGCAGATCACGCCCAGCAAGCAGCGCATAAGGAGCCGGAACATGAACTCCGCCTTGGCCATACCCTCATCGATGATCCGGGTATCCTCGGGGGAGCTCAAGCGTCTGTCCAGGTGACGGAGCAACCTGTGGCTACGGAGCATCTCGTCCCGATTCAGGTACACATTGAACGACTTCACCATGTAAAGAGTGTGCGGCAGGACCACGCAGAGGCCTTCGCAGAAGGTCTCCAGCGAGTTGGACAGCAGGAAGTTCACCGAGAAGGACACTGACACGCAGAAGTGGAACACCATATTCCACACTATCGAGTACGCCCTGTAGTGGCGGCCCCACAGGGTTTCCTTGGACGGTGGATGCAGCCCCGTTAACCGAAAAATGCGCCAGTGGATCACCAAAGCCGTCGTCGAGTCCACCTCCACAATATCCATGGTTTTCCAGATTTTCTAGTTTGGCCAGCTCTGTCTGGCCCTTTTATAGACAATCCATTACCCACACACCGGACTGCACATTCATTCATTCAGCCGCAAATTATGCAAATTACTAGAAATTAAACCTAAAATGTTCGGAAAAAGAACGCCTTTTCATACGAATCAAACCCGAGTCAGAGGACCCATTCTAGCCATTATAAGGGCAATAGTTTTCCCAAAGGCTGCTTAACTGTGAGAAGGCGCATCTGGGCAGGGAATTCATATCTATACACGTCATGGCTAAGGTCAGAAAAATATTTCGAGAGACACACAATATATTCGCCAGACCAAAAAAAATATCTTTTCTGCAGATATGCATACGAAATTCTCATTAAATAATGACAATTATATTTTTACCACCTTTAATAGTATGATTATTATATAATTAAGAGGATAATTAGGTCTTTTGTCTTTAGATTCAAGTTGTCGCTATCTCAAATGCCAAAGATGGCTGGATCGACCTTCCGAAAAAGGTATGTGTTCTTATAATTCTATACATTCAGGTGTTCAAATGATTTAATTATGAAAAAAAACCTCGTTGGAACTACAGAGCGTCTCAAGAGATACTACTAAAATTTTCCGTTTGAACTGCTTAATTTTATTTTGTAGAACCACTTCGAAAATTTTAAACATTCATGTTCAAATTATTTTGTGACCTTGCCATATTAAAAAATGATAACCTTAAAGTGACGAAAACACCAAATTAATATTAAAGTATCTTAATAATATAATTACTGAAGATGCTTTAATTTTAAAGTATTAAGTATTAAGTATTATTAATTAGTTACAAGTGACTATACCTTCTTCAACGCCTAGTATTTTTTTAAGTCCATGTCGTTGATGAAGGTTACCCCTATCTCAAGTTCAACGGGGCCACTTCTTTTGGGATTTAATTTTGACCCATCCCTATACATAGTTTAAACCGTAACACTTCTGCGAAACCTGTTCGACTCACCGCAAATAGTCCCCTTTTAGTTTTGGTTCAGGTTCACTTTGAAAGGTATCCAGAACCCATTTCGGGGCAGAGAACGATAGAATGGTTGCTCGCAGGTGGTGTGTATTCAAATTAATAATGCCAAATTGATTATAAAACATTTGTCAATGACAATCTGTTGGGGATTGACCCGTCCAGGCTAGAATAGACCCTACAAAAACACACACACACACAGTACGGCACCATGATTGAAGATGATTGATATTGGGAGGTATAAATTATGAACAACAAGTGGGAAGGAGAAGTGAAAAAGGTGGACCTATATTGGGAACCACTCTTTCCGACCAACCTGATCCATCAGGGCAACCTGTCGCGACCTTGGTGATTCGAAAAAAACAAGAGCTACGTTAGCCCAAAGATTTGTAGCCCAAGATGGCATAATTAAATTGGCTTCCGGACGACAAACGAATTTCCATTACCATTCAATTATGGCCATTGGGCTTTGGGCAAGAGGGTTTTCCTTCCTTCCCTTGCCTGAGAAACTCTGCAATTGTCTATCTATAATATTCGCATATCGATTCGATGCGAGGCTAATGCGATTCAATTTAATGCATTTCATTTTACTGCTACAGGTCAACTATAAGATAATGAACCGATGATTTGGCCAGCAATTTGCAAATGAAATGCTTTGAATTGAATCGCATTTGCCTCGAATCGATATGTGAATATAATAGATTAGACAGACATCTTGGTTATATATTCTATTTCCTACTTAAGCAGCCAAATGTTAAGATTCAGTTTAATTGTTTGGTTTTTATTTAATCTGGGTTCTTTGAAAGCAAATCAAAATAAAGAGTTATTAAACTCTATTCAGTCTATGACAATAGTTAAAAATAAACATACTTTTAAAGAAGATTTATAATTAGGCACCCATTACTCTATTAATTTAATGTTAATAAAAAAGGAGCATTAAAAGGGAAATTTTAATTTATTGAAAGTAAGTTTTTTATAATCTAACATTTTTTAACATTTACAGTGGATTAACTTGCTCTTTATTTATCGCTTTTTTGCTTGCCGACGGAAATGAGATATTTTATTCTCAATTTCCGACGGCTTTTAGGTTGAAATATATGCAAATACCTTCAGTTAATTAAAATTGTAAGATGATAATAGTATTATATTCAAATTATACCAAATCAAATTGGAATAAAATAACCCTAACAAAAACTGGACCCGAAATGACCATGTTCAATATTTACCCCAGTAATTAATAATAAGCATCCGTTGCGACTGAGACGTCTTAAGCATTTTGTAATCTATAGAAAAAAATGGTATTCAACTTAAAATTAAAAATTAAATTATAATAAATTAAGAATTAAGAAGTTAGTCTCAACTTTTTCTTAAAACATCCTAAACAGGTAGAAAACTAAAATAAAATCTATGACGTTACAGTACTATGTATATTATTTTAATATTTTTGGACTAAGTTTAAATTTCAAAAAGAAAGAGAACAAGGGTTTTATAAACTCGAATACATTGGTATTTAAAGCCACTTATTTTAGATGTTTTCAGAACTCGTTTCATATCCTGGGCATATATAGTAAGTAAACGACCTGCCAATTGCTGAGATGGGAATTTCTCCGTTCTCAATCAAGTTCCCTCCAATTCAGATTTTATATAGATAGTTAGGAATCATCCCACAGCACTCGGATGCAACGGCCCACGCAGAAATTGAGCTATTTCAAAGCCGGCATGGCCAAACCGAAGCAAAGTCGTCAAGTACGCGCTTATAAATAGCCCGATGCCCAAACAAATAAATATATGAATAAGCCAGCGAGCGGCTGACTCAATCTCTGAAATGATTTAGACTGAAATGTTTTTAACTGAAATCGAGCAGCTCAACACAATGCTTCAAAAAAAAAGAGCAAAGTCAACAACAAAATCAAGCTTTTCAACAAAATGCTTGGAGAATATTCGCCTTACAACCAGTGCATCGAAAAAAATATATAGTTTTATAATACTTTTCATGTTTATTTTAATATAATAGGAAAGGCATCTTATGAAATATGTGTATTTTATGAAATAAGTTTATTATTTTAAATGAAAATGTAATTTTAGATAATATTTATTTCTGCCTTTTTAATAAGGAAATAGTTTTATAGAACTTTTACAAAGATCTAAAATTTAAAGGTTGGATTAAAACCAATCCATTCTTTCAGGGTATGTTTGGATTTGATCCATCACTTTTTTAAATGTATGATTAATTAATTCCATTTGTCATCAGATGCTTCATACGTATTTATGTGTGTATGGAATGTATGTACTGATGTATGGCATTAACAATATTTATAACTTAACTAATTCCCCTGAAGATATATGTTGGGAAATATTGAAAAATAAATCACTAAAACATTATGGTGTTGTTTATAAGACAGAATTTCATGTTCAATCTAAAAGTATTTTTAAAAAACTATATTTTTTTCTGTGCGAGAGGAAGGGAAGGAAAAAATTGGGGGGGGGGGGGGGGTAAATAAGGTGAGCAGCTGAGAGATGACGCCAACGTCGCTCAGCTGTTTCTCACCTGAGTCAAGAGTCGCGGCCTTATAAATAGCCCAAGCTCGTCTAGAAGCCGACTCAGTTGAACTCAAACATTACCAAGTGGAAAACGGAACCATTTTCGAATTTATATTTTTTTTGTTTTTTATTTTACGTTGTAGTGTCAGTGTGTTCTAAGAACTTTAACCCAAAAATGGTGAGTTGCAGTGGGAAAGTCCAGCCTTCAAAACAACACTATCTTTGCGGCTAGTTTTTGGTGTATGATATAAATATTTTATGATGCGCATTTAATAAAATACGTTTAGTTTAAGAATAACTCATGGCAATAAAAAGAAATAAAATATTTAACTTGGCCAAGTTAATTTTTCCCCCGTTTTATTTCTGTTTCTTGTCTGTTGAAAAAATTACGCACAAAGACAAAACATAAAAAATGCATTCAGGTAATGCTACGTGAATGGAATATTGATGTACTTAACAGCACGTAAAACCTAAGCAAACATGAAAAAAATAAAGTAAAGTACAGGATGGCCCCACCGATAATTGCGAACTTGAGTTTTGGGCGTAATGTTTACTTCCGGTTAGCTAGAAACAATGTGGTGCTTCACTTAACGATCGATTACGGAATACCCTAGAAGAATATTTATTATGGAACTCAAGATTCGTGATTCAATAACCAATTATAATAGAACCAATTTCGTTAGGTCTATGACAAAAAACAATTTGTTAAAGAACAAAACCCTTCATATTTTTGTTTGTTTAATTAAAAATAACAAAAGAATATGCCTTATTCCCACATAAAGTGGGAACATAAGCCCACGATCATTGGATTTTTAAGTGGTTTTGATTTGCTTTTTGTCTTGTCATTCTTTCTTGGAGAAGATCAATCACTCAGAACTTTTTAAGCCATGCAAGTAAATAACAAACCCATTACTCATTTGCTAAGACAACAGAGCTAAAAACAAACCAATTAATATCTAGCACTTTGTTTCAATATAGGTAGGTTTTTTTACCCATTACTCTTGGGCTAAAAAGGAAAAATGTAATTTGTGCTAATGTATTTTTGTATGTTTGTTAAGCACATATTTCTTATATCATCATCTGGATCTTGGAATTCTTTTAGGATTATTAAAGAAAGTAACCAAGCGTATATGGTTGATTTTATTAAGTAGCGACTATTATGTTCCTACCATAATTTATAGACCTTATACTATGATGAAACTCATCAGTATTCCAAATACTTAGAACCGAACATGGCCTCATTCACTTCCTTTCAACAATGTAATCTGATTACAAATTAAGAAATCTAATTTCCTCCCTCAGTGGATCAATCTCGAACCTTATAAGTGGTGATCGACAACTTAGTTAATGCGAATATATATGGGCTACCATATATATTCATTCAGATTAATTCAAAAAGGCAGCCGGTCGATTTGCATATTCTTATTGTATTCCGAATTGATTCACTTTTTGC